TAAATGGTGATAAGATGTGGAGACAGTTTTTTGACTTCAAGTACAATACTGATAGACCTAACATCTTTTATAGCTCCTCCTCTAGAGCCTCTGAGTTCTTTAAAGGTTTGATGAGAGCTGCTTCTGTAGCAAAAAATGGGATATATATGGCATATAGGAAATGGTAAGAAGTGCAAGTTTTGGGAAGATAATTGGTTAGGTACTTCTAGTCTAGCTATTCAATATTGGGAGATCTATGTGTTAATTAATGAGAAGGATGCTACGGTTGCATCCCTGTGGGATGGTTTTGATTTGAAATGCACTTTTAGAAGATGTGTCGATGATAGATTATACAATCTTTGGTTAGAAGTGGTCCAGTTAGCTTCTACTATTAGATTTACTGATGAGGAAGATTCACTAATATGGCAGTTTAATTCTCATGGTGTATACTCTTCACAGTCCTTATATAAAGTCATTAATTTTAGAGGTATTTCTCCTGTGTTTGTTCCTGCTGTTTGGGCACTGAAGGTCCCACCAGAGTCCATTTCTAAAACAAGGTTCTAACTAGGGATAATTTGAGTATCAGGAAGAAAATCAAGGATCCTACGTGTTTGTTTTGTTCAGAGGCTGAAACTGTCAATCACTTATTTTTTAACTGTGTAGTAGCTAAACAGCTTTGGTCAATTCTTTCTGAGATCTTAAATAGACAAGTTGGCATAGATTTTGTTTCTGTTGGGACTATGTGGATTAGTAATAGGAAATTCATAGTGGAAAATATTTTTTGTGCCGCTGCCATGGGGGGGCTTTGGAAACTAAGAAACAGCTTGTGTTTTCATGGAACACTCTGGGTAGATGTGCGAGTGCTGATAGTGAAGATAACAGCAATGCTACAAAATTGGAGTTCTCTATGTCCGAAGGAGAAAGTCCCAGAATTTCTGGATCACCTGGACAAACTGAAAAGCTTCGCCACAAGACCTCACCGACTACCTGGCTTGGTCAGGTGAATGATGAATGGGATCGCATCTTATATCAATCTGGGAACGGCTGGAAGATCAATACAGCTGATGAAGTTAAAGCTCTGCTGACAAACGAAGTTGATCCGGAAAGGTTGGCTCGTGAAAGAAACTGGATTAGTGTTACGAGTCTTGCGGAAGCTTGGGGATGTAATGATGTCAGTAGTTAGTTATAGATTATGGGCGGTTGTTTGCCTGTTGAGGCGTTCTGAGGTTCTGTTGGAGTTTTTTGAACTTTAAATGTTGTAAGGAGCTTAACGGTTTGGTCTTTGCAATATAAAGGCCGGGGGCCACCCTTGAACTCTAAAAAAATGACCCCGTTTGTTGGTATGAAACTTGGCTGAAACTGGCTGAAAATACTGTTTTGGCTGAATCGTTGTGAGAGAAAAATATTATTTCAGCTGAAAAACAAGCTGAATAAGCCGAATATGGGATAAGCCCAAACTATCAATTACCAGAGAGCAAGCCTGAGCAAAGCAGTGAATAATCACTACATTACGGTTTACGAAGGTAAATTTATACTGCATTGGGGCAATGCAAGACTCTGAGTCTGAGACGGTCTGGATCTGGGTAATTTGAGCGGCCGACGGGATGACGAGGAGTAGAATTGAAATCCTGTACTTGAACCGAGTCTAGACAGTCCTGTCCTGTCCTAGATTTGATGAGATCTCTACTGCTGCTCCTTGTGTTTTCGTTTTCATCCTCCTGTACAGTACAGTCCAGGGAACACCACAATTCAATGGCCTCCATAATAAGGTGAAGGTGTGGCTGCATGCATATGCATGCACTAGTCACGTACACCACCAGGTCACTTTGTGAGATTGTAGGGTGAAATTTTTGTATTTTGGTCCTTTTTGAAAATATTTTTTTATAAAAAGACCTACGCCAAAACGTTTTCTAAAAATAGATCATTTTTAGGCGTCTTAGAACATGACGCCGAGGTATGAGGGTCGGCGTCGACTGACACGACGCCGAGGTATTGCCACGTCACGGACGACCCCGGTCGACGGCTACACGGTGGCGCGTGGGGTTCGAAACGACGGCGTCCTGTCAGCCCACGCCACGGGCCCAACCTCGGCGCGGCTGGATAGAGCGCCGAGCTATGGGCACCATCCGGCGCGCGGCCCAGGCGGCCCAACAACGCATCGTGGCCCAGTAGCTCGGCGCGGGGTCACTTAACGCCGACACACCAGACCTTGGCGTGGCCCGAGTCAACGCCGAGGTCTGGTCCCTTGAGGCCGCGCCGAGGCCCCCTTCTTCTTCCTCTCTCCATTCTGAAACCGCCGGCTCTCCTCTCTGTCTCTTCTCCCCCACGCCGCCACCAAACCCTAGCCTCCAAAATCGACCGTAGGTGCCACGATCTCGACGATCTCGGCTCCCGAAGCTTCCTCGAGGTAATGGTCCCTCTCCTCCTCCAATCTATTCGCGTAGATGTGCTTGCATTGTCCCTAATCATGTGAAATCATGGGTGTATGGTGTTTTGGTATATTTGTGTTTGCATTTGCAAAATGTATGGCTTAGGATGATTGAGTGTATTGTTGTTTAACTGTTTTATGTGGTGAACATGTTAGGTTAGTTTGGTTTCTAGTTATTTTGGTCATTAGGGTTCTTTGTTTATTGTAGGTGTCATTAGGGTTAGTTATTTGTTGGTCATTAGGGTTAGTATGCATTTTATTTATTTGTTGGTCATTGCATTTCAATTTTTTATGACTAGAAATGATTATGTTGTTGAGGTTGAAAAAGATGAAATGATATATTTTAGTTTCTACTTATTGGATTGAAACTCGCATGATATATTGATATGTGACACTACTTGTTGTGTGATGGCTGTAGATGGATAAATTAGTGAGGTTGCATCATGGAGGCCGTATTGTTAGGACAAGAGATGATAGTTTGGAATTTCTGGACATATGTGAGGAGTTGTTGTTTTTTTTCTGAAACACCATCTTTGACCTAGTTAGTGGAGCGAGTGAAGGTTAAGTTAGGCTGAAATGAAAGAGAAGTGCATGTTCAGTTTGAAGGTGTCATAGATGTTGGGTCGTCGAAGGGTCCTCGGATCAAGTGGTTGCTCAAAATTACTAGCGAGTCCGAATGGAATGATTACAAGGCAGTTGTATTGGCCTCAGAAGTGCGATCTTTGGATTTAGTAGTAAGTAAGGAGTCTGGCTTAGAAAATGATAGCTTCGAAGCATGCCCATCTTCCCCCGCTCACATAGGTTATGGTCCTTTGTCTGAAGAAGAAATACTTGTCACACAACTAGGCTACGGTGGAGATGAGGAGGAGAATCCGGTTGCCGATGGTGAGGGCAATCATGATAGTTATGAAGAGGATGATGATTATGTAATTGGTGATGCAGAAGAAGGTTTGGACGACGCTAGCGGAGACTTTTCTATTGAGGATGAGCTTAGCGACGAAGATGATCTTAGTGGTGAAGAAGACTTTGGTGATGCTAGGGCTACGAACCGTTTTGACATGGAGATAGCTGGAGATGATGAATCCTTCGTAGGGGAGATAGCCGAAGACTCTGATGACGATCGGCCTGTTGGTCGTCTCAATTTTAAGGAAATAGAGATATTGTCTAGGGTCTTGCCTTGGAGAGATCCACTAGTTGGTGATTTCGAGGACCTTAGCCATGGTCGCAGGGCAGTAGCTGATGGTGGGCCAAGTGATACAACAATGCCTGATGTTAGCGGTTGGCTCATCATACGGAAGGGCATATTATTTGCTACCATGGATGAGTTGAAATCATGGTTGTAAGAGTACTCCATTGTACACAACCGACCTTTTAGGGTCATCAATTCATTCAAGGAGAAGAGGTACACTGTTGCTTGTGAAGAACAACAGTGTGGTTGGAGAGTATGTGCTAGGAAGACGAAGGCAGGCAAATGGAAGATTACCTCAGTGAAGCAACCACATGTTTGTGCCACTGCTGAGGCAGAAGAGAATCACCTGCAGCTCAATTCTAGGTTCATTGCAAGGCAGTTATGCCCCGTGGTGAAGCATATGCCAACCATTACGGTGTCCGCGTTGGTTGAGATCATCTTCCAACGGTACAATTACTATGTCAAGTATGGAAAAACATGGAGGGCAAAGCAGCGTGCACTGGAAATAATATTTGGAAATTGGGAAGAAGCTTATGAGCGCCTCCCTGTAATGTTGAACGCAATGAGGGCTATAAATCCTGGGATGTACTTCGAGTATTTACCTAAGGATGGTGAAACAAGGAATGGTAGCCAGGTATTTGGAAGGGCCTTTTGGGCGTTCGGGCAGAGCATCAAAGCATTCAAGCATTGCAGGCCCATCGTCTCAATTGACGGGACCTTTCTTATAGGGAAATTTGAAGGCACAATGCTTATTTGTATTGGGACATATGCAGAAGACCAGCTTGTGCCATTGGCCTTTGCGATTGTTCGGAAGGAGGACACGGATAGTTGGTGTTGGTTTCTCAGGCTAGTAAGACAAGTGGTAATTGGTCTGGGACGTGATGTTTGTGTCATATCCGATAGGCATGCTGGCATTCTGAATGCCGTAGAACAAGAGATTCCTGGTTACGGCAAAATACATCACCGGTGGTGCACCATACACCTTGCTCAGAATCTTATAAGGCGTGATCACACAAAGGACAACTTCAAATTATTTGAGGAGGTTTGCAGGTAGCAAGAGGTTCAATTATTCAAAGACAAGCTAGATGCCCTGAAGTTAGCCACAAATGTTGATGGCAGGCAATTCTTGAGCGAGTTGATGGCGTCGAAGGAAAAGTGGTCACTTGCATATGACACCGGAGGTTGGAGATGGGGCTTCATGACTAGTAACATGGCAGAGATGTTCAATAGCCTTCTAAGAGGTTGTCGTGGTCTGCCTGTGACTGCTATTGCCTCATTCACCTTCTACAAGTTGAATGCTTGGTTCGTTACGACAGCACATTCATATAGCCTCCTGTCATTCAAGTGATGTTACATCTTTATATAGTTTTGCGACCAACCCCACTTACTAATAGTGCTTTCAAAATGCAGCGTGCCATGCATCGCCTCCGAAAGGTAGCTGCACGCCTTGGATGTAGATGTGCCCCGGATGTGGCAGTCCCACAACAGCTTGGTGCTGGACCTTCTACTGCACATGTTGGAGGGACTTCATCTTCACATGGTGCACATATTGGCGGGACTTCTTCTTCACATGGTGCACATGTTGGAGGGACTTCATCTTCACATGGTGCACATGTTGGCGGGACTTCTTCTTCACATGGTGCAACAACTAGTGCAGAGGGTGGTCAAGGACATGGTCCTTATGATGATGAAGATGATGAAGGACAGGGAGAGTACTATGAGCATGAGTATGATGAGATTGTCATGTCCTAGCTTGAAGATGCACCCCAAGGAACTCAAGGCCCCTCCGGTTCTGGACACCCACAGAGGACGCTCAGACCAGTGGACAGGTACACTCCAGGTACCTATCCGTTTGGGAGGGGAAAGCGTTACGCTCGCCGTCCACGTTAAGGTACTTGGCTCAAATTTTAGCATACACCAATTAGCTCAATATCTAAACGAACATCTTTTGATATGCTTGTTAAGTTACATCTCATTTTTTGTTCCTAACTTAGCTCAATAGCCGCTGAAAGTTGTTAAAATTTACTATTATAGGAAAAAGAGAGATCAAGGTGAAAAGGAGCATTGGAGAAGGAACGAACTAAAAGCTGCAGACCTTGTCATATGCTTCTTTTGTGCGACCTTATGTAATGTTCTATGTATCTTATGGTATGCACTATGTTTGGACTATGTTTGATATCACTATGTTTCGATGTTGAATGCGTATGTCGGTGTGGTAACGACATGGACTATGTTTGATGAAGCATATCACTATGTTTCCAGCGTTGAATGTGTATTCTATGAAATTTTGTATTCTGCGAAATTCAGTCAACCTGTGCACTTGTGAACTGAAATGTTCATTTCTTTTTTTTTGTATACTCAAATCTCGGCGTCAAATCAAGACACGCCGATGGTAGGCACTTCGGCGTTTAGTCAATTGACGCCGACCCCTGGCGCATACTGGAATCGGCTGGTACAGACGTTACAAAGGTACTACGATTACACACTCACATGAAAACTAACAATGGCATGTTGCAAACTAGACCTAGCATGCCTTAGGGGTTTGAGAAGAATAACTCATACAAGCATTCCACATTTGAATTGACTAACAAACAAAGGTTGATCCTAATAACGGTCCCACATATTGAACTGAGTTGCGCCTTCCCCACAGTATCCCCCAAATGACGGAGGCGGTGGCGGTGGCGGTGGAGAAGGAGGCCCGTGCTTCTTATGGTACGGGCACTGGCAGTACAGATTATTGCATAGTGCCTCCTCTGCATCATCGCTGTTGTCGTCGTCTGACTTGTCCCTGTTACCACTTCCAGGGCCATACTCTAAGTCAAAGATGCGTCCCTATAGATATGTGATGTACTGTTGATGGGGATAGATAGGAGGAGGGTCGACCCATCTAGTGAAGCCACAGTTATCTGGACAGCTTGAATCCTGAAAACCCATCTACCAATAAGTACTACTACAAACCAAATGCAAATCTAAAAAAGAAGAGAGTTCAAAGGAAATACAACTCCTCGTGGGCATCTGAAGAAACGATGGCCTCCACTGTCACAGTCGTTGTACATCTGCACAACACAATCCAAACCGTGGCGGCATTTTGGCCAATCTTCAATGCGCTTGTCGTATGATCTAAGAGGTCTCTCACGGGTGAAGTCACTCTTCCTCTCCAAAGGAAATTCCTCTATTGGTTCTTTAAAAGAATCAGTACCCAGAGAACCCTCCCACACAATTGGAGGTCCCTTCCTCACCCCCTTTCCTCTCCTTCCGCCGAAACCCTTTCCACTCGAGGAACCTCCGCTCGACATTTGCTAAAACTAAACCAGAAAACAAGTTGTGTGGATGTGGAGCAAGACATAGAGCACTATATATAGAGATGAAGGCAGGTTCACCATGAATGCTACTTGACAAAAAACTTGTGTGCATACTCATTTATTGAATCTACAAAGGCTAGATGCTTCATCTGAAAAGCCTACAACCATGACTGGTCATTTTATCTGAAAAGGCTACACCTGTGTTTTGTCACATCATCTAAATTCAGTACATCACTCTGATATTAATTCATTGCGTATACGGATACAACAGTAAACGAATCTAGGCTTTTCAGCGAGTTTTCAAATAGACTTTTCATTGACTACAACACTACTTGTAGCCCTTTTAGTGACTGCAACAGCACAAGTAGCCTTTTCAGTGATACAAACAGTAGCACTACAGTCCTATGATAGTTAACGAAGGACAGGGCATAAGACCATATGAAATAAAAGCATAGTGCATTACAACATAATAAAAAAAGTCCAGGGAATAAGTTCATCTGAAATAAAAGCAGAGTGCATTACAACATAGTAAAAAAAGTTCATCAGAATGGAGGGAGGAAGAAGAAGGGGGCCTCGGCGCGGCCTCAAGGGAGCAGACCTCGGCGTTGAGTCGGGCCGCGCCGAGGTCTGGTGGCTCGACGTTAAGTGACCCCGCGCCGAGCTACTGGGCCACGATGCGTTGTTGGGCCTCCTGGGCCGCGCGCCGGATGGTGCCCATAGCTCGGCGCTCAGTCCAGCCGCGCTGAGGTTGGGCCCGTGGCGTGGGCTGACAGGACGCCGACGTCTCGGACCCCACGCGCCACCGTGTAGCCGTCGACCAGGGTCGTCCGTGACGTGGCAATACCTCGGCGTCGTGTCAGTCGACGCCGACCCTCATACCTCGGCGTCATGTTCTAAGACGCCTAAAAATGGTCTATTTTTAGAAAACGTTTTGGCGTAGGTCTTTTTGTAAAAAATGTTTTCAAAAGGGACCAAAATACAAAAATTTCACGATTGTAGGGCACTTCTTTGGCCCCGCTTGGGCGGGCTCTCACGTGCTCCGGCTCTTACACTGTAACGATACTGTAGCCGGAGCCACGGGAGCCAGAAAAAACGAGCTTCTCCGGTTTCGGTGGTGTCAGTGAGAGAGGAAACTGATAAGAGAGAAAAACAGCTTTGATGAACAGTGATTCAACGCGGGAGGCAGAGCCATCCGGAGCCCGCCAAACGGAGCCTTTGTCTTCTCCGCATGCAGTAGACTCCCACTTGGTATGGTAAATAAAACACGCAGAGACAAATTAAGCCAAGCTTCTTCTACTGATCTGATCCTAGCTATTCCTCTCGCACATATATATACTGTCTGAAAACTTCACTTCAACAACAGTGCATAGCAGCACTGTTCTTGTAAGAAGAAGTTGATGCTCGAGACTAATTACAGTCCAAAGTAAAAAAAAAACTTGCATGCCACGTTGGAGTAATGGCCCGGCCATGCATTCAATAATCAATACCATACCACCGTCCTCTCTCAGCTCTGCACGCTGCACTGCAGATTGCATCGTCAGGACGCCCGCCCATCCAGGCAGGAATTCAACTCACTTTTGCAAATCAAGCTAGGAAAATGACACCACTTTTGGTAGCTAGCGGCTGAAAATTTATTAAACAAAGGTAAAAAATTTATGAATCCCCTTAAAACTTTATATAAGGCCTTATTTAGATTGTAAGTTTTTTCGCTCTCTCTATCACATCAAATCTTTACACACATATATGGAGTATTAAATGTAGATAAAAAAATAATTAATTATATAGTTTGATTGTAAATTACGAGACGAATCTTTTGAGCCTAGTTAGGCTATGATTAAACAATAATTATCAAATACAAACAAAAATGCTACAGTGTCAAATACGGATTCCTAAATCCAATCTAAACAAGGCCTAAATTATAAGAAGCTGTCCTATATATATGACAATTGACAGGATATGGTCGTCACTATCACACACTTACAACACGTACACGCAACAACACCGACACAAACGAAACCTGCATGCAGAAAACAACATCTGGATTCTGCATTCTGGACAGGACGACGACTGAAACCGATCGAAACTGATGGCATGCACTAGCTACTAGCAGCCAGGGAGTCACACCCTCAAAAACTCGAGATCAGCCTGTTCGGCACGACTGAAAAATACTGTTCCGACTGATTGTTGTGAGAAAAAAATACTGGCAGGACGTCAACAGTGATTCTGTGAGAGGAAAAACAAGCCAGCCGAACACGCCCGCAGAACACGCCCCACGAAGTGATTCTGTGAGAGGAAAAACTCGAGATCATATCCAAGGAACGGACAAGCACGCGGTCGAATTGCATGCACGCAACAATGGCGATGAAGCTGAAGCTGAAGCTGAAGCTGCAGGGGGATGACGACATGAGATCACGTGCGCAGCTGCTGCTTCTGGAGGTCGATGGCGAGGACGGTGCTGAGGTTCATGGGCGCGATGTATTCCACAGAGCCCGACATGAACTGCTGCACGATGAGGCGGTTTGCGCGCTCCGTGGGGTGGAAGGCGTCCCAGAACACGTAGCTGTCGCGGTCGGCGCAGAGGCTGGACACCATGGTGCACAGCCCCATCCCGTTGAACCTTCCCTGGCCGCAGCACGCCTCGGTGGCGGTCGCGAAGCCGTACGCCTTGGGGTCATCGATGAAGTCGTCGTGGATCCGCTTCATGTTCACGCCGACGAAGACGTCGCCGCCGTGGCGCGCGTTGAGGTCCTGCAGCAGCGCCATGAGCCGCGGGCTGTACATGTCGGCGGCGCGCTGCAGCTCCGGGTCGCAGGTGCCGTCCAGGCTGTGCAGCGCCAGCTCCGCCGGGACGCACCCGATGGGGCCGACGCCCTGCACCAGCACCCGCCGCGCGCCCAGGTCGTAGAGGTGCTCCAGGATATGGGCGTACTCCGACAGCACGTAGGAGACGTAGTCCGGCAGCGAGAACTCCCGCGACCGCGCCGAGTAGGGCACCAGGTAGTAGTTGTTCACGAAGTCGTTGCCGCCCAGCGTGATGAGCACCAGCGCGCCGCGCACCAGGCGGGACGTCGCCTCCGCGCCGATCAGCGCGCTCAGACGCTTCTGGTACTGCTCGAAGGAGCGCAGCTGCTTCGCGATGTGGATGATGTTGGCCTGCAATGCAATGCAATGCATGCACGGACATTATTATTGCACATTGGTTGCACCACGTACAGTTCTGAGTTCTGAGCTCGTCGTCGTCGCAAGCAATCTATCTATCATCATGACTGCTTCATGAACTCTACTAGTACTATGCAACGTACGAATTGGATTCCGGTATCGTTGAGGATGCCGACGCCGGCGGACGCGAAGTTGGCGCCGACGAGCATCTTGTGGCCGTCGAGCTCGGGGCTCAGGTACGGCAGCACGGGCTCCGCGCCGAGGTGCTCACCTGCGTGCGTGCATGCAAGGATGCATTCGTGCACCAAGTTAGTAACTGGCCGACAGGACTCGAACGCTATATTATATGCTACTCCAGCGACGACTCAACTGATGATGTCCGGCACGTTCTTGCCGTTGCTGAACCGCCCCGTGGCGCGGTGGTCCGGCGTGTCGATGCCGTAGGGCGGCGAGTCGGCGCGCGCCGCCGTGATCAGGTAGTTGTTGTTGCCGTTGTCCACGAGGGAGTCGCCGAAGACGAAGAAGGCCCGGGCCGCGTCGGCGCCCCGCGCCGCCTGGAACACGGCGAGCGCCCCCAGGCAGAGCGCGAGGGACACGAGGCGCCAGGTGGGGGACGCCATTGCGGGCGGCGCTGTCAGTGTCAGTGTCTGTCAGTGGCCTGGTGGCCAGCACCTTCTGATCTGATCGATGTGAAATGTGATGGATTGCACTGCACTGACGCGAGCGCTTGGAGATAGCTTGGAAGGCTCGTCATCGTCGCGGCCCTTTTCGTGTCGTTTAGTTCACCTTAACTTTTACGACGCGTGTATGAAGGATTAAATGTAGATGAAAAGAAAAACTAATTGTACAGTTTGGTGGGAAATTGCGAGATGCTAATTAGTCCATGTTTGAATACTATTTGGCAAATAAAAACAAAGGTGCTACAGTCGCCCAAAATCCAAATTTCACGAGCTAAACAAGGGCCCCCGCGCCCCCGTGCCGCCTCTCCATGCCGTCCCCGCGCCACCGCCCGCCCGCGCGCCCGCGTGCCCGCGCCACCGCGACGCCAGGCCGCCCGCGCGCCCAGCCGCGGCCCCTCCCCGCGCCGCGCAGTGGAGTCCTCCCCCGGGCTCACCAAAGAGGAGTAGGAGCCGTCCCCGGCCGCCAGTGAGGCCCAGGAGCAGCTAGCGCCCGCGGCGGCAGCATTCGAGGTTGAAGAGCTTGGGTGGGGGACCCAGCTCGCCGTTAAGCTCCGCATGCTCGTGGCGCCGCCGTGGCAGCGCGTCCGCAAGGGAAGCGTCCTCAACATGAAGCTTCGCGGCGAGGTGATTGCTTCCGCACGGCACGGAGCACTTGCCGTTTATGCTCTCCTTTAATGCGATTTGATCATTTCGTACATCCTGAAGGTCTTCGTAATGTGTGTCTTAGCCTCTTAGGGCTTGTTTGGGTCCATTGTGATTATAATAATCAGCTAAAATAATCTAATTGTGATCCCAACAGGCCTAGATTATGACCTGAATTATATCCACCTCGGACCTGGTTTTTGGTGATCATGAATATTTTTCACTTGAACTAAGAATAATCCAGAAATCCAAACACTCACATCATTATAGTTCATAATCTAGATTGTAATAGTCCTCTGTATAATCTAAGATTATAATAATCCAGTTGTGATCACCCTTAATCCAGTTGAGAATTTTGTTAAGGCAGCATATGACCCACTGTCTAGAACAAGCAAACGGACAAGCTGGTCAGGTCAGCGTGCATCATGCAGGTTATTGAAGGCCAGTATTCATCGGCAATCTTGATTTGTTGGTAGATCGATCAAGCACATATAGCTAATTAGCTAGCATATATAGTCAGCCAAGAGAAGAGATAAAAATTTGGCACTGCATATTAGCTAGCATGTACATGCCTGGTGTGTTAGCTGTTACTCTGCATCGTTGTTGCTTTACCTTTTTTCTACAATTTCATGAATGTAACTAACACAGTAGTCATGTCATCCTTGTATAGGAATCAAGTGAGAAGTTAGCGATGGGTGAATTTTTTTGGCATAAAACCTCCTGAGAAGAAGGCAAGTATAATACATTCTCATTATGTCATTTTTAGATGTGCTGCATTGTGTTATGTCAGTTTAGGCATCTTTCCGGCTACACTGTGAATTATCTCTATTTTAGGAAATGGAACTAGTTTAGTATTTGTGAAAGCTAGTGCATATCTATAAGCATTTTCTTTCTTGTCTGAACCCAGCAACCTACTATACTAGCCACTATTATAGTGCTAATGTTCATTATACTTGTGCTATACCGACCACTATTCTAAAAGCTCTTGTTAACTGACTAGTGTGGATCAGGTAGTGTTAATGTGCTATTATACTTGTGCTTGAGATATCATCGTTCATACTGATTCTATGGGTCCTTTCTGAACTCCTCAAGTAGTATAGGAGGAAGTTGTATTGCATTTTTCATCGGGGCAGAGTTAGAGCTTGTGCAGTATGGTGCACACATACATTCTGCTGCGAGTACAATGTACAACAATAAATGCAGTTCTCTAGTCAAGCCTAAGATTTGTCTTGCTTTAAATTTTTGATCTACTGCTGCACTGCAAGTTTTAAGTCGATCTTGTTCTGGCATGTATAAGGTAGTGTTGGATGACCTAGGTGTACAATTCATATTTTTATGTTCCTGTCTTGTTCACCGTGGAGAATTTTAAATTGCTTATGAGAATTCAGATTATATCTTTTGCTCTTTCTATTTGTATACATGATTTCCTTATGACCACTTAATTTTTGCAGTAAAAGGATGATAGGTTCTATTCTAAAGCAGCAGGCACCTGACAACCATAGAGCTGTGTCCGTAGCGGTGGCAAGCTCCTGCAAGTGCCAAAAACCAAGCTACTATTGAGTAAGTTCTTCAATATGATGTACATAATATTCTGAACTTGACTGAATTTTTTATACCCAAATGTCTGACCAGCTGCACTTATCTTCAGTGGCCATTTATAATGGTTTTGCAGAATGTCAAGAACATGCCTTACTCAATGTAGTCACCTATAGTATGATAACAGTTGCACTTATCTTCAGCTGCAAGTACCTATAGTATGATAATTGTTCTAAAAAGTATTGTCTGATCATAAAAAATTAAATATTAGTGCACTGATAGTAAATTCAGACCACTCTAACTCTTAAAATTATCTTGCAAAAGCAATGATATTTAAAATAGTAGCTGTAATCTGGAGATTACAACACAGAAAAATTAAGAATACACCTTCCATGCAAACTTCTGTACAAAAGAAGGAACTCTATGTTACTTGCTTGCTACCAATAGTGCTAGGGACATTCTGATTCAGATTATCATCGGGTTCTAATTATTGGTCTGAGCTAGATTGGTTTTTTTGGTGCCAAATTTGACAGAGAGGGACATAAATATGGTAACATATACCTGATTACTAACTGGCGAGCCAATATATGTTCTATTCCAGAAAACATCTCTTCTCTGGAATTGAGATCTCTTGGTCCAATTATTATTATTAATCCAGTAAACATGCATCCTCATAAAGATCTATATAAATATTTGTGTACTTTACTCACTGTTTCTATTATATAAAAAAATCATCAGTTCAGATAGTTTCTTTTTATTTCACTAACTTTATATGTGTATATATCAGGTGCTTTCTTGACCACTCTGAATATGCAACTGGGCTATCAAATATTGCTAAAGAAAATATCCTGGTTGACAGGTAAACTTTCTTTTTTCTCGCAAAAAAATCACACAGTGTTTGTCCTTCTAGTGCCAATGCAGGCCGTGGGTTTCACATATTGAAGAACCTTGAAATCTTGCATATTCTACTGCCAGCTTTGTGTGCAGCAGTGGTTCTGACCACAAGTTGCAGGTTGAAATTTAAGCATACTTTTTGATAAATGAGCACCCTAGAACTTTCTCAATCATGATTTATGCCCCTCTTTTGGCAAAAAACAAAAGATCACGTACTATTTACTGACACAGTGTATCACTTTGACACTTTCAATTGCATTTAGATTGTAATTGAATTTTTATTCAGGATAAATCTCATGTGTGAGTTGACACAGAGCAAGAACTATTGTTCTGTACATGCGAATTTTTGTAGGATACAATCCAAATGGAACCAGTTTATATATCAATTGTATTTTATTTTGTAATACTTTTCTGTATAGAGTGGCCTTCTATGTTAGAAAGGCCACATTTTGGATTGCATACCAAATTGTTATTTTCTATATCGAGTAAGGTAGGTCTTATTCCTTGCATTTCAGGTATGATTGAGCATGTTGGCTGAGACCTGGTGCCTTAAATATCTTAGGATGCGCTGCTGCTTCACTCTCTATGTCTAAGTAAGTTTGGTTGATTGATGGTGCAAGAGAGCTGCTGCATACTGCCCTTCTTTCTAAACATTGCCAGCTGCAAACCTTATTGCTTATTACAGTATTCTCTGTTGTTGGCACTTTTAAATTTGTACTTTGGTTTAGATCTCAAGAACAACCCTCATACTCAATGTAGTCACAGCTTATGTAGTGTTAAAAATCTTCTATGTTGCTGCTCATGTATTTATCATGATGGAATGTAAAAAAAAATACAATTTTCCAGCTTTGCCGAGTGCTGTAACCATGGCACTCGGCAAAGATTTTTTTTAAAAAAAAAAAATCAAACTTTGCCGAGTGCCGGCCAGAGGGCACTCGGCAAAGAATTTTTTTTAAAAAAAATCCAAACTTTGCCGAGAGCCGGACAGGGGGCACTCGGCAAATAATTTTTTTTAAAAAAATAAAAAAATCTTTGCCGAGCGCCTGAAGAGTTGGCACTCGGCAAAAAAAAAATTAAAAAAAATAAAAAATCTTTGCAGAGTGCCTGCAGGGTTGGCACTCGGCAAAGAATTTTTTTAAAAAAAAAATAAAAAATCTTTGCCGAGTGCCTGTAGGGATGGCACTTGGCAAAGATTTTTTTTTTAAAAAAAAAATCTTTGCCGAGTGCCTGCAAGGTTGGCATTCGGCAAAGAAATTTTTAAAATAAAAATAAAAAAATCTTTGCCGAGTGCCTGCAGGGTTGGCACTCGGCAAAGCCACCGTCAACGGGGCCGGCGCCGTGACGGTCGCTTTTCTTTGCCGAGTGTCCCCGGGACACTCGGCAAAGACTTTGTCGAGTGCCCGATAAAAGACACTCGGCAAAGAAGGTTTTGCCGGTCAATTTTTTGCCGTGTGTTCTTTGTCGAGTGCCGCACTCGATAATGCTTTGCCGAGTGCAATTTGGCCTTTGCCGAGTGCCAAAGAACCTGAATCCAGTAGTGACAGCAGCATGCAGGTACCAATGGTGATCTGATGACCTCTCCTAATCCCACCTTTTTGAGGAAACAAAATTGATACGGTGATCACTGCAAATTGCAACACAACACATGCCGTGTGAGTGTGACACCGTGGAGTGGTCCGCCGCCGCGCCGGAGTTCAGCAAGGACGCCGTCACCGTCGCCATACCGCTCCTCAAGGAAGGCCGCGCCTACTTCTTGTCGGGGAACTACGACGGCGAGCAGTGCGAGAGCGGCCAGCGCTTCGCCATCGGGAGCATGGGATCCGTGGGTGGCCGCTGGAAACGATGGCCTCCTCCCAACGCGGTCTGGC